GGAGTTTCCACTGAGACTGCTGCCCTCACCACCCTGTCCTCTATAAGTGGAAGATGATGAGTATGAGATAATAAAATGAATAGGCTCTGATCTCTGTATGTTTAAAGAAAGTAGAGACAAACCACAAAAAAATGTGTTCCTATAATTACAAAAATTTCATTCAATTCCACAATAATTTAACACTTTCAGTCATCCATAGATAACAGCATATTCAAATAGAAAGCATTTAAGTTTTATAGTATAGATTTAAAATAGCAAAATAATGAAAAATCTATGTACACTTTTTTCAGGTACAGTATATACTTACATGTTACATGCAGCAGTTTTTGCTTTGCATTGTCACACCAATGAGTACCTGCAGAAAAGAAAGGTGGGGTTATTTACCCAGGGAGACCGCACATTTAGAGAGGTTGTAAAGGAAATTAATTAGCTGAGTAATTGATCATTGATTACTACTCTAGTCGCCTTCAGATCTGCCTTTGTAATGCATCCAAACATAAATGTTTTGATCTGGTTCTGTGACTACTGCCTAAACCAGCCATCCTCAACCTTGGGTCCCGACCTCCACCGGGGTCGGGAGATGATTTCTTGGGGGTCATCACATCCTTTTAGAAAATGTAAATATGGAAAATTAATGTAGCTTCTGACTGGACAATAGAAGAAAGGTGAGTGGTTTTTCTCAAAAAGGCATTTTTTTTTACTGTAAACCAGTCACTGTTGGCTGTAACGAGGCTTCACCAAAACAAGAGCAACAAACCTCTCCAATAAGGTCACAGCATTTAAGAGAAACCTGGAGGAGTGGGCTGTGGGAGGGGTTGGGCGAAGTGTCGAAATTTTCACCAAGCTTAAGGTCTTTATGGAGATCTCACCTCAGGAACCTGTTTTGAAGTTTCAATATATTTTCTCCAAATTGAGACAGGTCAGTAAAGTACAACTGGATACGCCAGCCTTTCACCACCTTCAACACGTCATAAAAGCTGAACAATGCCCTGCTACTTCTCTACTCTGATCACATATTGATTGCTAGTTCTCTGCATGCGTGCTGAAAGAGTTCTGGTTGTCAGTAGCAACAGAGTTCACAGCACTGTCAAAAGCTGCAGCTGATGTGTTGGTTCCATTTGCCTCCATATATCTGTGCAAAAAGACAATGGCTTTGTCCGAAGGTCCACCCTAACCCCTAAATCCCTCAAACACTATACGGAGCGGGGACTATATGGTGGACTTTATAGTGAACTCGGTTAACTGACTATTCTGACAAATGATCACTACTTTTCGGTCCTCGTCATTAACGTTACACCGCCTCCCCGCACGGTGCCTGCGGTAGCGACAGCCGTAAGCAACAGTCGTAGGTGACAGCGGACCAATGTGACAACAAATCCCATGATGCTTTGCAAGGGGAGCTCTCCTTGTAAAGCATTCCAGGATATATCTACTTTTCTAGTGACCATGGATGATCACTACTTTTCAAGGTGCATTCTGGGAAATTTTGAGTCCACCCCTTTTTCTTCCAATAGACGTTAGGACACTCATTTAAAATAACTTAACCACTATATAGTCCCCTATATAGTGGTTAGGGCAGACATTCGAACAGAACCATTTTCTGCACTGACACATAAAAAACCAATACAGATCACGACTCCTCAGAGTTGAGAGTCATCTCCGCCATTTCTAACAGAGCTTTCAAACGGGCAGGCCCAGCCAACATGTTAAATAGTTGCAGAAAAATATCCCTGCTTTTGACCAGGAAGTTATTCTACATGTTTGAGCTCCTAGAAACATAGATGTTTAAAATTAAACATGAGCTGTTTTCTAGTGTGTTTTGGAAAAGTTTAGCACATATTTGTTTTATTTTATTTCATTAAAAAGAAAATAAAGTTTTCATTATTTGTTTACATTTTAAAAATGATGGGATGTAGCGACCATTGTTGGTCTGTCCGTAAAGTTAGCCACTTGATGCTGCTTTATGTTTTTCCAAAAATTCCAGTTGTTTCACAATACAATGATAAAGAGACTAATAGCTGAAGTGAGTTCATAGGTGTTTGTCTGATAACGTAAATGTGATGTATAAGTATATTGATCCTATCCCTAACTCTCCACCGGAGGGTTTACAAGCATAAAAAACAACAACAAAGGTTTAAGATCAGCACATCTAATTCAGATTTAAGTCTAGACTTTGACTAGGCCACTCCAAAAACTTCATTTTGTTTTTTTTCCATTTAGTGGAGGACTTGTTACTGTGCTTTGAACAAGCATATGTTCGTGAAATGATGGCTTGACATTCTGCTTCTGATTCCATCAGTTATCAGTTGTCAAACGAAGCAGCACCAGCCCATCACACTAGCATCACTGCATTTGACTGTTGGTAAGATCATCTTATTGTGATTATATTTTTTTTGGCTTTTTTTATGTGACAGGTTTTCTGGTTTGTTTTGGTTGTGATCCTTGCAACTCTTCCTTGAAGGAAGGAGTTTTCTACCATGACTCCTTTCTACTTGTAAAAGATAAGAACTAGTTTCCATTGGCTACCTTTGTGGCCATAATGCATTTTTGGAGTAATGGTGGCAGCCCAGCCATTCCTGAAAAGATGAACGACTGCTTTATTTTTGTGAATAATTATTACCATGGTTATCTGGTGATCCAAAGCCTTAGAAACAGGTTTCCAGAATGAGAGATTTATACAGCATTATATCTGATCTTTTCTTGAGTTTCCTAATATGAGGGCATGAGGTATTTGAGGTATTTTGGTCTAAAGTAAATTGTCAGACAGGTTCTGCTTAGTTGATATCCTTGTGACAAAGGTGTGGTAAAAAACAAACCTGAGTGTGGCCAAGGCAGGGCTAAGGTAGGTTTGATCTCAACTTTGGTAGGGACACTATTGATCTTAAGTTGAATTGGTCTGATGTCATTGGCCCTATGCATTATGCATGCTCCTATTTTTTTATGCTTGACGTAAGCATCACGGTGCATTTAGTTAAAAGAGAAAACAGCATTTTTTGGTACATTTAAACAAATTTTATAGGGACTACACACACAAGATGCTATCAATGTTTGAAGCATCAGCGTAAAATTGGGACAACCTTAAAGGAATAGTACACCCAAAACATGATTAGCCTTCATTTTCTACTCACCCCCATGCTGAACAACACTCTGGAGTACTTTTTTGATA